CTAATTAACTGCAATCCTGTGTGTGTGTGTGTGTGTGTGTGTGTGTGTGGTGTCGGGCTGCGTTACTGCAGGCTTGGTTTCACGGGCGACGGACTGTGTGATAAATACAGGCTGAGTGGGTTTCTCTCTGACCCCAGCAAGGCACACCCTGGGTGGGCTGTGGTAAGCCGTCGCCTCGACCTGCGGTTCCTCATCCCTGGGGCTCATCGAGGATATAAAACAGAAAATTCAATGTGTTGGAGCAGTGTGTCTGACGGTTTATTTGTACGACGGGGTAAAAGCGTGCTTATGTCCCTTGTATTGAACGTGTGTGTGGACACGTTTTAGCAAGGGATAAAGACACAACCTCAATCAAACAACACACTAGAAACACACAGAACTTGTTTTGCGAGTGTTCTTTCTATTCCTGCAACTTACTAAAACACACAATGTCTAATGCATCGTTATGTGTTTTTCTTTTTATGCTAATCTATTTTATGTTGCATCGTCGGAGAAGCCTGGGATTGAATGGTTTTTAAATCAGTGCAGAAGACAAAGCTTCTTTTGTAATTGTATAGAGAATCACATTAATGCATTACTTTCCTTTATGCCTCTGCTGTGAATGGTGATTAACCCCAACCATCTTCTCTCCTTTATGTCTTTCAGAGTTTGAGGCCTGCCGTCACCATGCTGCCTTACTTCCTTCTCCTCTGCCTCCACTCTGGTCTGGTGGTATCCTACGAATGCCCGGATGACTGTTCCTGCCAGGGCCAGGCCTCCATCTTCTGCATTCACCGGCGCTCCAACGTCATGCCTCGTGTCCCCACCTCCATCACAAATCTATACATCTTCCAGAACGGCATCGACTCTTTGTCCCAAGATGACTTCAAAGGCCTGGGGGAGACGGAGCTTCTAGATCTGAGCCAGAATCAGCTGGTGGAAATTCCAGATGGTGTGTTTGAGATGCTGTTGAAGCTGAAGAACTTAGACCTGTCCTCTAACCAGATCACACACATTTCCAAAGACAGTTTCTCTGGGTTGGCCCAGCTGGAGAGACTGTATCTTCATGCCAACCGCATTCAGAGCATCCATCCGGAGGCTTTTGACAGTTTAGAGATGCTGCTGGAACTCAAGCTCCAACGAAACCAGCTCACATCTCTGCCATCCCTTCAGTTCCCCAAACTTCTGCTGCTAGACCTCAGTCACAACACCATCCCAACCCTGGGACACTCAGACATGCAGACCCCGCATCTGGAGGCCCTTAAGGTGTCTTCTGTTGGGCTCACCTCTGTGGATGAGGATCTCATAGCCTCTCTGGGAAACCTACATGAGCTCGACATCTCCACAAACCAGTTAACTGAGGTGCCCCCGGCTCTGCAGCAGGACTCCCTCAAGGGGCTGATCAAGCTCAGCCTGGCTGCCAACCCATTGGGTGATCTGAGGGTGGAGGACTTCCAGAAGCTGATCGGACTTCAAGAACTGGATCTAAGTGGTCTTAAACTCCAGGGATTTTCTCAGAGTTTCTTCCAGACCTTCCCCAGGCTGGTGCACCTGACAGCGGCTGAGAACCCGTTTAACTGCTTGTGTCCATTAGCTTGGTTCCCCGTCTGGCTTAAGGAGAAGAATGTGAATCTTGGACGTCCTGAGGAAACCAGATGTCACTTCCCTTTGGTTAATGCCGGGAAGATGCTTTCAGCCCTGGAGCACAAAGACTTTGGGTGTCCACCTTCTACAACAGTGCTGATTGACTCCCCCATTGGAAGTACTGCTGTTCCCCAGGTGTCCACCACATCTCCAGAGACCATCCATACCAACGCCATACCGCCCCCTCCTCCACCCAGTGAGGCCACCATCTCCTCAAAAACAGACCGCCCCCATTCCCCAGAACCTCCAGTCTCTCCAAGCTCCACCAACAGGGAGGTAGGGGAGCACATCTGCCCACCAAACATCTGCCTCAATGGGGGCACTTGTAATTTTGACCCGTTAGGTCAACTCAGCTGTTTGTGTCCGTCGGGAACATCTGGCCTCTACTGTGAAAATGTGGAGGAGGTCCCTGAGCCTCCGAAACCTTCAGAGGTTTTGTTAGTCGCCCTTGTGATTCCTGTTGAACTGGATGCTATCAGCTCACGGCACGTCACCTCCACATCTATCCTTCTGGACCTGCACCGATTCATTGAAACACGGCCAGACATCCGGGGAATCCGGTTGACCTACCGTAACCTCTCAGGGCCTGACCGCCGCCCCATAATCCTGAGTGTACCGGCATCCTACCCTGAGTACACTTTGCGTGGTTTGCTACCCAACTGTACCTACTCAGTCTGTGCCAGTCCCCTGGAGGAAAGAATCAGCTCAAGGACCAACAGCTCTGTTGAAACAGGGTCATGTACGGAGGCTCGTACTGAAGGGATACCGCGGATGTCTACAGAGTCCTGGGTGGAGACCCAGAGCCCGCTGACATACACCCTCATCCCCGCCTTGGCTGCACTGGCGTTGGTGCTCGGGTTGGCCGTGGTGGTCGGGGCGATCATTTGTGTCCGAAAGAGAAGGCAGGCCGAGGCAGGAATGGAGCTGGAGCTAGGCCCGGCAGATCCAGATCCAGATCCAATGGAACTGGAGGGGACCAAGGCCTGCCTGGAGAACGGGGGACATGGTATACTACCCCAAAAACAAACTGAGATTGACAGATGTCGAACTCCTCAGCCACCTCCATCCTTGCAACAAAATGGGGGTTTGGACTTTGAAGTACCCTTAATGCAAGGCCACTGCCCATCAAATAACAATATAGCGTCATTAAAGCCATCCTACTTCTAATATCCAACAAATGCAAACACTTTGGGACTATGATGCAGTTTAAAGTCATCGAGCCGAGCTAACCAAGCGATTCAACTAAGTGCAATTGACTAGAAGGGTCTTAGTAGCAGACAGAAAACAGAAGTGCCTTTTTGCATCGACACAACTGTAACCAGTGGATTTGTCTCTTTGCTTGTATGAAAGAAACTATGTGAAGGAGCTGTAATCCTTCTTGCTGGATTTGGGAGAACAGTGCCTCAGACTTTGGGCAGCAGAACTGCCGGAAGTGGCAGTGGTTTAAATAATGACGGAGATGCCGAGACCAAACGTCCCGGCACAAAACGGTTCATCGACCAACGCGAACCGCTCCATGGGAGTTATAAAAAGAACTTGCACTGAAAAGAAATCTTTCTTTTCCTTTGTAGTGTCCACAGGACTGATGATGGTCACATAAAGAAATGCAATAATGCAAAAAAAGGTTGCTTTGAAAAGCGGTCTAAAGATTGTTTGTAGCTGTGGACATTCTCAGATCAAAACAAAACTATAATTCAAGCAAAATTGGATTATTCAGTGTCTTCGGATTAACTATAATTCTCTCCACACGTCTTGAAGATTTTCTCTTTGGGGAGATTAATTTGCTGTGAAAGAGAAATGGACTGAATGAAGAGCCATTGAGAAAGGACTGTGCCTGCATCGCTCTGTGACTGGAGGCCGTTTTGTGTAGCTTACACCCTGTTCCTGTTTTGTTGTTTTTGTATTTCTATCCTGTTTTTTGCTGCCGATGTTCATTCAGTATTGCTTTGGTTGTGAGTTAAAACTGTACTAACTGTTCCCCTTTGAAATAAGCTGCCAGTCATCATGGATTCTTTCATTTTGTATTTGCATCCTAGGGAAACATGTAGCTAAATCCTTGTTTTGAGCTCAAAGCACTAAAATAAACTAACATTTATCAAATATATACTAAAAAACATTCATTTAAAGGTAAAACCAGAACACAAGTCATCTTTACATCATTTATAGAGTTAATTGTTAACTGCCATGAGTCAGTGACTTTGATTTTCTCTGCTGCATAAGAAAAGCCTCTGACTGTTTTTGACAAAGCTCCTAAATGTGTGTTCAAAGGCCTTTCACCACAGAAGCCACTCCTATAAAGCTGCAGACACGTGCCGAGAGATGAAAGCAAATTCAAAGAGCTCGAAGGAAGTTAGCTGCGAGTGTGACTGAGTTTTAGGCGATTGGTTTCCTGGGCTGAGATATGATCTAGACGTTTGTTCTCTCACACCACTCTCCGCCTCCTACCCGGCACTGCCTCGTGTGTTTGGATTGTTGCTTGTTTACAGCCAACCAGACTGTGAAATGCACAGGCTCAGTGTGCCGTTCTGACTCATTTGCTCTCTCTTTCCTGTCTGGTGCCGGGAACGCCACAAGATTTAAGTTTTTCCTTTAGAGAAAGAATTTTAAATTGCAAAAAAAAGGTTTTACAGAGTGTCATATTACGTGCTGATGTTTACTTCTAGAACAATAGTACGATGGTCGAAAGGTGCAAACGCGTTAAAACGGGCAAAAACATTGCAATTGGAGAAATGCAATGCCCTTTCAAAAAATATGTAAATGAGACTGACCAAGGCACAC